AATAAGAAATTAGTAGGGATTGGGATATAGCTCAATACTCTGGGTTTGACCCCCAACCTTGAATAATCCATGTGACGGTACCTGCCTTTAGTCCCAGCACTTGGAAGACAGCAGCTGGAGGATCAGGAATTCAAAGCATCCTCAGCTACATAGAGAATTCCAGGCCTGAAACCTCAAAGTCTCATAAAGTCAGGAAGGGGAGTTCAGTGGTAGACTGTTCACCTAGAATGGGTAAAGCTCCAGGTTCAATCCTTAGTACTGTGAAGGAAAGAGGGAAGGGAGGAAGAATGGTGGAGGGGGAACAGGGTTGATCACTGGCTGAAAAGGAAGACAGAACCAAATGCAAAGTGTGGACCAGATGCCCATGACACTTCGCAATTCCAAGTGTTTAATGGGAATGGTGACAGAGTAGGTACTGTAGCAGTGACAATAGAGGTGACAATCTTAAAAGATTCTAGATAACTACTCTCTCCTGGGAGAAGAAGACTGGGGACTGGACAAAATCCGTAGCCTAGTTCTCAGGCTAGTGAGAGACGCTCCCTAACTGTCACAAGGAAGCAGGCCTAAGTGACCTTAAGAATCTTAAGAACTACGCAGAGGCTGCTGCTTTGCTTGTGAGCCTCCATCCTGAGTGCACTTGGTCCAGCTGGGATTAGGCCAGCCTCAGTGAGTGGAGGATGGAGGCTGAGGGAGGCCAGAGCGGTGTGGTAGGAACACCCAGCATCTTGCTAGTTTTGTTCCCCCTCTCTGGGCCTCAGTTCCCTACCTAGAAAGTGGGGAGGAGGTTGAGATGAAAGGGTTCCTCTATTATCATCTCTAGATCTGTGGGTTCTGGGAGGGGTGGTATCACCTGACACTGCAGCAACAAACCCAAACTGCAGTCTAGGACAAAACAAAATTTGGTGGCCAAATAAGCCAGACAAGTGAGCAAGGAGTCTCAGAGGGTGGCAATGGTTTCTGTGGGGCCCTGACTCTACTCCAACTATTGAAAAAGTACTAGATAGCCCCACATGTACTGAAAAGTATCTTGCTGGAGGATGACAACCACAGGCAGGCCACGATCAAGGGACCAGCATCGCCTCAGATACCACAGTGAATAAATACCTCCAATGCTTGCCCCAGGCCCAACAGCCCTGGAGAGCAGGGTCAGAGGCTTAGGACCCAGACCTCTGTGAAACAAAGCAGAAATCCCAAGCAGTGTAGCAACCCTGCTGCCAGCCAGAGGCTTACCTGAGCCTTACTCCAGTGGAGGGCTTGGTAGGGACAGCCACATGTTGCACGTGTGGGATACCTAGGTTCTAGCTCAGCTAGCGACCTTTTCCCTCTGGTTTAGACTTAGTGGGTAAATGAAGGGTTGGTCTGGTCTGATGTTATTACTGATGCATGTGGTAATAACACTCTATGCTATCTGACACAGTGGCATTGCATAGAACCTGACAAGGGTAGGGCCTCCCGTCTGATGTTCCTAACAGGCACAAGGGGTGCCACAGCAGGAAGCAATACCAAAAGTTCTGATTCCAAACCCAGGGCTTCTTACAGAGAGCCCTGAGCTTTGGAGCCTGAGAGTGTTTGGGTGGGATGGGCCTGGACAGATGGCTGTAGGGAGTGAGGGACAAGCAAGTGCCAGTGGGAGGTGGGCTAGAGAGGACACACTTCTCGAGTCCATACTGCTCCCCTCCCTGGACAGGACTCCACCTCTAGTGGTGAATGAATGTGACAGGAAGAGCCTGAAAGACAAAACCACCCTCAAAAAGCACCCAGTACAGGATCCTGCTGGCTCAGCAAACGCCAACCAATTTCTTCCCCTGCGTCCCAACAACGCTTATACAGACTCAGAGGCCAAGGTCAGAGATGTCAACAGACTTCAGACAGCCAGGAAAAAAAACTCTGAAACAGGCTGGGGAGACGGGTGTCTCAGTCCCTGAAGCATTTGCCATTCGAGTAGGAAGACCCAGTTCAATCTCCAGGACCCATGTAAAAAGTCAAGTGTAGTGGTGCACTCTTACAATCCCAGATCTGGGAGGCAGAGACAGGAAGATCCCTAAGGCTCACACTGGTCAGCCAGTGTAGACTAATCAGCTAATCCTGGTAAGAAACACAAACACAGACAACACACACACACACACACACACACACACACACACACACGGGGGGGTGTTGGAGCCAAACCCCAGCTTCTAGGTCTTTCCTCATTTGCCCTGGATCCACCACCACCACCACCACCACCACCACCACCACTTTTCCTTAGAATGAAAAAAGAACATTTTGTCCCCACAAAGAAGCCAACAGCCAGTTTCTGCACAGACAAGGCTATTTATTCAAACTTTTTTCATAAGTCCAGCCCCCTCTGTGAGCCTGTAAGCAGTACTCAGAAAGTCTTACAACCGCAGCTCAAGTCTTGGAAACTCTACAGCTCCTCCCCTAGCCTCAGTCACCAAGTTCCCAAGTCTAAACTTCCGATTTTGAGAAAACGAGGTACCCTAACCGTGTGACTCTGGGCCAGTGATGCTTCTGTTCTTTGGAGAAAAAATGACCAAAACCATAAAACTCAGAGGACAACACCATCTCCTTTCAAAAGCACTCCTAGCTGCACACGCTCCTAGGCAGATAGATAGGGCTTTCAATGTGCCTTTTATTTGATGCTGGTGTTTCCACATCCTCTTCTTGAAGAGGAAAAGGTCAGCTCAAGGCTCCTGAGTGTTCACAAGCCCTCTGCCTCCTCTCAGGGGCCAGAAATTCCCCCTTCTTTGGACTTCTTAAAAATCCAGCCCAGATAAAAAAAGCCATGAGCTTGCTCCCCCATCTAAACTTCCCAAATAGCTCACAAGCTACTCTTCCACATTTCAGGCACCGTGCAAGCATAGGACGCAGGCTGGAATTCACCAGCAGCCAAATTGCCTGTTTCTCCAGCCTCAGCCACCATCCCTTTATCTGTACCTTCAAAAAATGTCCGATCTCGGACACGTAAAAACAAGGAACCTCTGGGAACAGCCTCTGGCCTCCTACCCTGCCCTGTGTAACCAGCCTGTTCTCACACCCACGAGGGAGGAAGGAGGCTGCACGAGTTAACCCTCTGGTCTACCAGGCCCAGTTCCCAGGTTGCAGCAGAGGCAAACTGTTGCTCAAAAAAACCATTGGCACGAGGAGGCAGCTGGAGCCAATGGCTCGCTATGTAGCGCCAGGGCAGGAGCTTCCACAGGCGCAGCCCACTGACCGCCCTTCCAAATCCCGGGGACAGTGGGGTTGGTCCCCACTGTCCATGCCCAGGGCTGTCCACCCTCGGGGCTCCAAATGTCTCTGGCAATGCAAAGAGGAGGGGCTGGCCGAGCGGTACACTCACCCCGCCAGCCCAGCCATCATTCAGCTTCTTGGAGATCTCAGAGAGAACATTTTGGGCTGTCAAGTTAAATCTTTCTCCCTCGTTTCAGGGCATTGGAAAAGCAGTCAGAGGAAAGGGAAAGGGGGAGAGCGGGGGAAGGAGACGCAGGAAGGAGGGCGGGAGAAAGCGAGCAAGCAATCCAGGCTGCCAGGCTCCGAGCTCCAGCTACTCTTAGCACTGCCAGCCCAAGAAGCTGCAGCTCTGGGGCAGACGTTGACCGAGCTCTCGGCATTGAAGCAGAGATCTGGCCGCCGGGGCTTCCAGGGCTTTCTGGGTCGGGTGCAGGATACCAGGCTCCTGACCCCGGGCTGTTGGACACAAAGTGGAACTGTAAACCAGAGAAAGGAAAAGTTTTCGGCAGGTAGAGGGAAGGGCAGAGTAGCCGCGCCGATCCGCTGACGCCGGGGGAGGATGTGGGGCCCAAGCCTGCAGTCCTGGCGCGCTCCGGTCCGCTAGCCCTCCCGCCCAGGTTGTTCACATTCCTGGAGTGTCTTTTAAACCCGAGGCTGTGGCCCGCTCCTGACCTTCTCCCGCGGTTTTGGGGTAGTTTCCGGTGAAAATCTGCTGGCGCGCAATGGCCGCGAGAGGAGGCCGCTCCTCTCCCGCGCCCCACCGCTCCAGGGCGGGGAACCTGCTCTCTGCACCGCGCCCTCTCCCCGCCTGGCCAGCTTCCTGGACAGATGTCCCCGGCCAGAAGGCGACACGCTCCCGCAGCCTACACTGCGACACCAAGGCCGTGCTCCCTACTGTTTTCTCCCTGGCCTTGACGCCAGGACTGTGAAACAAGCTTTCATAGCTTCCCTCCTACAATCTGGACTGAGCTTCAGTTCCGGCCCAGCCCCTCAATCTTCTCACGGTTCAGACTCCCACTCCCCCGGGGCCACCGCCGCCAAATACAGAGAGGAAGAAAGAACACGGGGAAATGACTTTCAAATTTGCAACGCGCGAGCGCGCGCACACACAAACACATCTAATCGCCTCCCGACTAGAGCAGCCCTGGCCAGGATACGGATTCGGAGGAGGGAGGAGAGGACCCGGGAGACTGGATGGGTCGGTCTCCCTTTCCTCTTTTGGAAAGATGTGAAGTTGTGCGCCCTTGGGCAAAGGAGAACCGCCGAGAAGGCGCTGGATTCTAGGGAGGCCAGAGTTGGTGGTGTTAAGTTGTGCCTCCGAACTTCTATGGAGAACACACTTTTGTACATGGGAGATGGGAACGCGGTTGTTTTGCGGGGAGAATAGCCCAGGGAAACTCGGCGCGTGGCTGAAGCAGGACACGTCCGACTATTCGGAGCGATGGCTGGGAGGCGCGCCGACAGAAGGCGGACACAGAGTAAGCGCGCATACCCGCACCGGCGCCCCATACACCCGAAGACCCCCGGGTCCTCGCGCTCATCCGAAGCCGCCCTACACAAGCTGGGCTCTCGCTGGTGGCCAGGGCCTCCGTCCCCGGCGGCTAGACCAGCGCGCCGAGTCCGCACGGCTGGCTTCTCTCGCCTGGCCAGAGTTAAACCTTTAAGCGGAAAGCCCTAGTACAGTACCGGGCGATCTCACCCCGATGATCCATCAAGAGTGGGTGGAAGCTTCGGTGCTAACGGGCGGTTGACTCTGTCCCCAAACTTACCGGCGCTGCGAGCACCACTGCCACCGCAGAAGGACGCGCCGCCGCCACCGTCGTGTAGGGCAGGCTGGAGCCGGGAGGAGCGCCGCGAGAGCGCGGAGATGTACTCGGCTTCGACTCCGGCTCTGGCTCTTCACCGGCGGTGGCTAGGGTCAGCGCGCTTCGCGGGCGCTGCTTGCTTGTTTTGTGGCCCGATAGCTGCTCGCACGGCCGGCCGCTTGCTCTCCCGGGCGCCTGCCGCCGCCGCTCGCTTTTTTAAGGTCCACAGACAGTGAAAAGGAACTCGGCGTTAAGGGGTAAATTAATCTACTCGCCCGGAGCCCCGCAAGTTGAAGTGTCTGATTACATTGGCTATTCCAATTCCAAAGACCCACGCCGCCGGCCTCCCGCAAAAACCGGCACGGAGTAATGGCGGGAGCGGAGTGCCACGCCCCCAGCGCGCAACTATGCTTGCCTTGGTTCGCTCTCCACTTGCGCGCTCGCTGCGCTCTCCCTTTCCCTTTCCTTCCCTTTCCTCCTCTCTCCTTTCCCTTCTTTTCCTCCCTTTCTTCCCAGTTCCCAGCTTTCTTTCGGACCCTGTTAAGCTACACCCTACCCTCACCCTCTTATGCTACTTGTTCACTCTCGTCCCTCCTCTCTCCTCCCCGTACCTAGGTAGGGACCACATTAGTAAGAGCAAAATTACTGCCAGAAGGCGTACCCCGCTTCCTGCTGGTCACCTGCAGGAGTGCACTGGGGCCTCAGGTGCTGTCAGCTATCTGAATTGGGGTGACTGGGCTGCTAATGAGACACGGTATGCGGAGCTTCCCTGGAGACTTTGGGATTATTCCTAAAACGGGGTGACAGAGAGAGAATGAGAGGACCCTAACCTTCACTACCATGAGTGACGTAGAGGAGGCTCAAGTGCTCCTCTGAGAAGGAGCGAGGGATGCAGAAAGAACCATAAGTCCCCATTGCTACTTGAAGTTATGAGCAAGAACGCCGTACTGCCCCTGGTAGGGAGCGCCTGGGGCGCTGAGAGCCGAGAGCTCCAGCTTTGCAGAAGTTGAAATTACCCAACCAGCTCGCAGCCCAGGGCTGGGCTCCAATTCTGTAGTGGCGAAGGGTATTCAGGAAACACAGTTAGGTGCGCCCACTAGCGGGGGTTCCCCTCGCAGATCTGCCCCCAAATGTATCCGAGTGCGCACTCCCTTTGGCTCACGTCCATTGCCACTCACACAGAAACTCCTACACAAACACACACAGGTTTGCACCTACCTTTCAGCGTGGCACGCATACTCCTTATAGCAAGCATGACCCCTCCACACACTTGTACACATACTTTCCATCCCAGATATGCCTGTGCACCTGGAGTCATACAATTGAACACATAAATATCGCTGTACACTACCCCTGGTATGTGTAAAACAAAACACGAGGCATTTCCCCCATGCATTACATCTCACATTCGCGTACACATACCACACATGTTCCCCTTACTCTTCAATATCCCTGCCTCAACCCCACCTGCCTCCCGATTAGAGGTACTCTAGCCCTAAAGATAACAAGCGGCTAGGCTGGACACGCTCGCGCCCACACGGGCACTCCTCTTCAGGGCAGGCGGGGGAGGCTTGGGTCGGAGTCCGCTAGGGACTCCAGGTATGGCGATGAATACGTGCTCCGCTTTTTGCAGGCAGCCACCAGGAAGGGACCTGGAATAACTAAGGCAAGTTGAGAAGAGAGCAAGGGGGCACAGCCCTGGCCGGCTGGGTCTTCGAAGGCTGCTTGTCCGCCAGCCCAGAGAACCGGAGGTGGGGAGGAAAAGCGGGGAGAGGGGCGTGTCAGAGAACAATGACACCGCTTGGGGCGGGCTCGGGCTGACAGCCGGGGCGGGGGTCTTTCTCAGGGCCTGGGGCGGGTGGATGAAGTCTTGGCCTCGACAAATTTGGGCGGCAGCTTGATTGACGAGGTCCGTATTAAGAGCGCAGACGTGCCAGGCAGACTTCGCGAGTCCTGAGCCTCCTGGGTGGTGATCATAGCACACTGCAGGGCAACAGGGGAGCTAGCGGGGGCCCCCCCCCCACCCCCCACACCCCCTCCCCCCCCCCCCCCCCCCCAGTTTAGACTATCTTTCAGAGGGCTGGCTGATCAGACCTCGGCTTGAACTCCTTCAGGGCCAGAAAGATCACTCCTTCCATCACCAAGACAAGAAGGCAAAATGCCTTTGCTAGCTTTGAATCCATTCTCAAAGCTGTGACTGTCTGGCAGCCGTGAACTCAGCCTGGAATTCCTGAGGGCAGACTGCAGCTCAGGTCCACAGGGACATAGGGCAAGGGTGTCTGGGTGCGGGGGTTATCCTTTCTGACTCCTGCTGCTATCGGGTGCGGGTGGGGGCCTGGGGGGCTGTGCTCGTTTCTGGCCTCAGCCCTCGGACCTGTCATAAGGGATGAACTGTTAGCATCTTGCTCCACTAACCCACCCACAGGTGGTGAAAGTAGGTGGCATGAAATCACTTCCAGACCTCTAGGACACTGGAATGGCCTGGTCCCAGTACATTTCCAAGAAGATCACTTCTCCACCCCTCAACCTGTGGGTGGCCCAGGTTGGGGAGGGTAGTCTGAGAAATCCTGGAAAGCTGGACTTGAAAGATGAGAAATCAGTTTGTTGAAGGGAGCCACAGGCATCCTGCTCTCAATCACAGCATTGGCACACCCAGGAGACCACCTCCATCCTCAGCACCAAAACCTCTACCAGCCTTAAGATGCAAGAATAGACCCAACCAACACCAGAGCCAGTTCCTGTTCCCTTGATGACCACATGAGTCAGGACACTCAGCTCTGTTGGTCTATCTCCAAATCTGTAAGTAACCAGAGCTAGTCACCTTCAGGAAGTGGAGAAAATGATGACCTCTGGTAAACATTCATGTTCAAAAGCTTCTGTCCAGAAGGGCCCCCCCTCTTTTTTTGAGACAAAGTTTCTCTGTATAGCCCTGGCTGTCCTGGAACTCACTCTGTAGACCAGGCTAGCCTCAAACTCAGAAATCTGCCTGCCTCTGCCTCCCAAGTGCTGGGATTAAAGGCATGCGCTACCACCACCTGCCCACCCCCTTTCTTAAGAAAATTACATAGAATGCATTTATTTATTTGTGGGGAGAGATACACATGAAGATCAGAGGACAACTTTGAGGAATCAGTTCTTTCCACCAATGTAGGTCCTCAGGATTGAACTCGGATCCTCAGGTTTGGCAGCATTTACCAAATGTTGAGCCGCCATGCCCCAACCCCTTATTTCTAGCCTACGTGTACATCTAGAAATCCGGAAGTAGCTGCATAGGGTAAAGGAGTCGAGCAGGACAGAGTCCATGTTGCTTTCAGCCTTCTCTGCCCACCAAGCATGACACCTTGAGGGCAATAAATCTAAGAAATCACACCCCGGCCTCTTGTGAGGACCCTATGCCCCAAGCACTGGGATTCCCAAGGCCCTTGTTATCTCTGTTTATCAGTCCAAGAGGTTACTGGGCCAGTTAGCTCCCTCTGGAGTCCTAGAAGGGATGGCTTATTTAGTGCCTACTGTGTGCTGAGTGAGAACATCAGTACTGCAGTTAGGGACATTACTGTTCCCTCCAAAGGAAAGTGAACTGTAAATATTGTCCACATGCTGCTCAGGCCTTCATTAACATGGCTTCTTGTTAGCCAACCACCCCAGCTCTGCATTCTTATCCAGAAATTCTGTGTAGCCCTAGGCAAATTGTTCTCCCTTTCTAGGCCCTCTATAAACTAAAGGCTCATAACACTGATCAAACCTTGCTGTTTGTCTACATCGAGTTCCCAATCTCAGCTTCAGCCTCAGTAGGGCCTGGGTTGAAACAGAGAAATAAAAAGTACACTTTGTCCAGTCAATTCAGGTTCCTGTATTCTCCCACCTCAAAAGGCAGCTTCAGTACCCACCAGAGTATGGGTTGTGCAATGCAGGCTCAGCTTACACCCACCTTTTCAGAAGGTTTAAGTGCCTCTAGTTTCCTACCCTGATGGAACCATCAAGACTGAGGAGGAGGTCCACTGCTAAGGCAGGGGCTGAGCCTGAGTCCCAGGAAGCAGGAAGTCTAAGGGCCAAGAGGGAGGCAGTAATGAGAGGATGTCTGCAGAATGCAGTGCATTTGGACTCTGGACCAGGCTATCATCAGTGTGCTGAGGCAGGAACAGACATAAAGGTACCAGTTCCTGCCTCTCTGCTCTGGAGCCAAAAGGTGTGTGAAAATGGAATTCACTGCTCCCTCTCCTTCCATGTCTCCAACCTGGTATCTCCAAGCTGATGAAAGAGCACAGAGGTTTCCTGGATGCTCCGGGGTAGGGTTCCAGGTCAAGCTGCATCTCTGAACTCATCTCCTTACCAGGGATGATATGGATGAGGTAACCTTTGAAGTGCTTCGGGGGAAGATGTAACCACCTGCTAGGAACTGATCTCTGTCTGTCTAAACTCTTCCTGGACAGTGAGTAATGGGAACATAATTAGTCTTCACCTGTGGTTAGTCAGGAACCACTAGGTCCTGTCCAGCTCTGTGCCTATATCTCTTAGGAGAGTTGATCTAACACAGAAAGCCTATACCCTCTAGCGCAGAGCCTCTATGTTCCAGCTAGATTCTTCTCCCTTCTCTGAACACTAGAAAACTGATGTGCCAGAGGAAGATTCCCAGTATTATGACCATTTAGGACTCAATTGTATTGGTTTCTGGGGGCTTGTTGAGACAATGTCTTGTCATATAGCCCAGGCTGGCCTTTGAACTCAAGAGTTCTGCATGGGTTGAATGCTGGGATTACAGCTGTGAGCCATCATATACCCAGCTAGGATGTGGCACTTCGATGGGTGACTAAGATGAGCTACAGAGGGAGGCAGTGACTTTCCCTGGGCCACAGGTCTGGGAAGTACACCAGTACAAGTAGCAGGTGCTGTAAAGTGTGAAAGGTGGGCCACTTCCTACAGCTAGAGCTCTGCCAAGCAGCAGGCTAGGGCTGGTGTGTGAAGGACTGCTGGGGAGAAAAACACATCGTGCCAAGGGCGGAGCACAGCGGCTTCCTGCCTCCATCCTGCAACACTTTCACCCTGTAAAAGAGCTGAGGCCTGACATCTCACGTGTGCACAATTTTCACACTCTCCTGCCCTAACCTGTCTGCATGCTCTTCATGCTCAGTGGCTTCCAGGAGAGTCACCATCGCATGCATACAACTTCTTGCATGCTTTTTTGCACAAGCTTCTTTTGTTTCCCAAGACACACCCATTCCAGCCTTCCAGTCTATATCTGCAGCCATCTGCTCAGGAGCCTACTCTCATAATATCACCAGCCAAGATGTCTATGTCATCTTCATCCCTGAATACTACCAGACTGCCTCCCTATCCGTGTGACCATAGCGACTGCCTGTTAAGTTCTTGCTATGGGCCAGGTCCTCAGTAGCTTGAACTCTGGTCCT